CTTTTCCCGTGGTTAATATTCCTCCGATAACTCGCACATTAAAAGAAAAATCAAGATAAAATCTTAGGAAAATTTTCTCTTTAATTGAGTTCAACATTTTGCCCTTAAACGCAGCCAAGTTTTCCATCAAAATTTGAAGAAATATATTAAAACCGCGATGAAGTTCTTGCATTGCAATGTAAACAATATCAACTGTTTTCATATTAGAATAGTTTATAGTATAAGTTATAATAAAAATAAAAATTAAATTTTATTATAATCTTCCAACGCTAACGTTCGTTGGAAGATTATAATAAAAATCGTGTATTGTGTTGACATTTTACAATGGCTATTGTCGTTGTAAAGAGAAAAATTGACACAAAATCAATTAAAGAGTTTGATTGATTTTGCGTTAGAACGCTCCAGAAGAAAAAAGAACGCTGCTTTAAAGGAAATTGGAAATGGATCGTCAAAGTCTCAGGTTGCTATGAAATATGGCGTTCAAAAAACTTATTTGTTCATTATCTCAAAATGATGTGTTTGGACTTATCTCTAGTATACCAACGAAATATTGTTTACGAATTTAAACTTCCATCTTTTATTTGCAATGCTTCAATTGCTTAGGACGTTTTGAAACTATATCATTGGATAATTTTTGTTAAATGTGGTTAGCTAACTTTAAACTACGATATTTACGCGGTGCTTAATAGAAAATTGTTACTATTAAAATTGTTCGTTGAGAAATTTTAACTTCGTTCTCCTTCCTATTATAGCCTATTATATCTCTTTTAATTAGTATAACTTTTTAAATAATTAATATTTTTGATTTATGTAAAGTGAATTATTTTTACAGGTATATACTTATTAAAAATATTCAATATAGCAATAAACGCATAAAAGTATTTCTTCTTCCATTACATCATTCAAAACTTTAAATTGACTTTTAAAAAAATCTCCTTATTTCTCCAAAAATATTTTTACACGATTTAATTTTGGTAATGTTCAGAAATATATTCCAATTTTCAAAATATGTTGTGCCACTTAAAAATATATGTTTGCTTGCAGTGAGGTACCGTTTCAAATCCTAGGACTTATTTAATGTATGACTGGAAAAGAAAGATTAAAATGAAAAAAACTCAAATGTTTTTGAGCGCGTTATTCAAATAGTTGGAAATTATATAATATTCAATAGAAAATAATATTCAAGTGAAAATTCGTCGTTTGTGCAATGCTTTTGAACAAAAATGTTCAGATAGTCAAAGTACAATGGCCGAATTAAAAGTAAAAATTCAGATTGCCTGAAAAGAGAAACTACATTTACTAATTATGCAATTCCATTAACCTCTTCTAGTCAGTCAATTCAATCAAGATTTTCTGGACGACCAAGTTTATCATATACCGAAAAATTGGATCGGGCCAAGAGATTAGAAGCATCAGAGTTATGTTGGGAAAATTCACACGAAACATCTCTTATATTGCAAGCAGCGGGTATGGCTGCACGTCAGCAAAAAAACGTGATTTAGTATTGGTTCTAAAAAAATCGAACAAACGTCCATCTCGGCCAACTAAAATTAAAAAATATATATTCAACAAAAAACGAGAGTGTGACGTACAAGAGTACGTCACACAGCGGAAGAAGTATTAGAATTAATCTTGGATTCCAATTTAAATGAACAACAATATCAAAACATTAGACAAGGAGCTGTTATCAGAAATTGTAACTTGTATCCTGATTACAAAGAGATTTAGAAATGTAAATCGGGATGTAATCAATTTTCGATATCATTGCAAAAGTACTATTAAAGAATTTATCAAAACATATATTGAGACGTTTTGTACAATTAAATGAAGAAGTGGTTTTTCAGCACACAGAATCCTTTAATACTAACGAAACTACATCCAAGATAATATAAAGTTAAGGTTTGCTGGCAATTCTGGTCAGCCTATAAACAAAAATTTTATACTACTGGCTGTTATTCTGCTTCAAATTTAATTGTAACAACTTTTGTTTACCCGTTTGAACTCAGAAGATAATAAGATCTTGTAGAACAATTGCACTCCTCAATGTGTGAAGTTTTATAGAGCAAGTTGAATACATAAAGGAATTCACAGAATACATTTTAAAAGAAAAAAAAAGATATTAACGGACAAATAGATAGAAGTTAGAGCCAATAGCAATTTTTTTTGTCTAATAATATAAAAGAATTCAAAAATCAACTCTACTTTATTTATGACGCTAATAGATGGCAAAAGTTTAAATTTATTATCTGGAAAAAAGTTTAAATTTATTATCTGGAAAAAATTTAAGTTTATTATCTGGAAATAAATCATACTAAGCTTGTCCGATATGTGGAGCTAATCCCAATAATTTTGTTAAAGTACAGGAATTAAAAACTACAGAATCATTAAAGCCTAATCCTATTACTTTACAGTATGGAATTAGTCCACTACATGCTTGGATACAACTTTTTGAAAATTTATACCTTCTCGTAGATAAACCAAAAATAGGAGGTTTTGGAAGTACCAACAACAGAAATACTGCACGCCGAGTATTTGAAAATGTTGAAACATTTGCCAAAATAACTAATGTGGATAATGAATTGATTAAAAAGTTTAAAATTATTCTTTTATCCATCTCATGTATCAAATTAATTTAGATAAATTAGAAAAATATAGTTTTGATAAAGCAAAACATTATGTCTAAATATCCTTGGTGTTCGATGCCTGCAAAGTTTTAGTATATGGCAGACAAATTCTAGAAAACAAACTACCAGTTGGTTATTTTAGTGCAGAAGGGTCTGAAGCAGAACTAGTATATAAGAACACAGTATATGTTTACAATATTTTATAACTTTAACAATAAAGTATTGAACTGGAAAAAAACAAAATAAGAAAACTTAAAATCAAAATTAAAAAAAACCCATAGATATTTCATCAATTGAAAGTATAATATTTTTTAGCTTTTGTTTAAAACAGGGATAACTGCATTTCTTAAAAATATCAAAATTAACACAGATATATGCGATAATAATGCATAAAAAAAAATCGTTTTTTATAGCCCAATTTTTTTATTTTATTACTATTTTCTATACTTTGTCAGCATATATACCATGTCATTTTTTTTTGATTTTTTAAAGTAAAATCTTGAAAACTATTTATTGTAGACTGGCAAGACTTGTTTTTTTCTACATGAACACTTATAGAGCTTTAGAAAAGTTCGCTATTCAGCAAATATATCCGGTACACTTCTACTTACTGGGATGGCCGCAGCAAATGCAATGGGTAATAAAACTCCTATGATTGTATAGGCAAATCAAAATCAGCTCATTGCTTCAAAGGAGTTAAGCACTTACCTTGTAGGTACAGAAATCAAAATAAAAGCTGGATGGATAGCGTACTATTCGAAGAGTACGGGATATAGATACAAAGCTTACAAAAGAAAAAAAAAAGTTTATAATAGATAACTGCGCAGCAAACGCGACAATTGATAATCTAAAATTTATTGAGCTCATTTTTTTTTACCACCGAATACTATACCTAAACATCAACCGATGGATCAGGGCGTTAAACGCTCTTTGAAAGTTTATTACAGATCTTTAGCATTTTAAAAACTGGTCGTAGCTATCGATAAAAGAAAATATCTCACATGGCAAATAGTGAAAACCTCCACCATCGTTAATTGTTTTGCAAAACCAAGAATTTTGGAAGATGAGCAGAAATCTGCGGTGGCCTACCCAGATAACACAAAACGTTTAACAAACGTTTTGTGTTAGCTGGGTATAACTCAAACTAATTTCGATATTTCGTAAATCGTAGGTTATGACGTTTTTGATTTTCAACCGATAGTTTTTGACTTTTATATTTACACCTAATTAAAACATGTACTAATTTTCCAACTAAATTGTTTTTGAAAAGTTTCAAAATCAGATAAAAAAACTTGATCATTTTTACCCTCCAAGTACAACAGCTGAAGATGTGATTTCTGGAGATGAAAACTTAATGAGCACAGCACTAACAGATGAACAGTTGATAAAAGAAGTAAAAAATGCATGAAATAAACATGATGCTGATGACGAAGAAGATAATGATGCGATGTATCCGATTTGCCCTAAAGTTACTGATATACGGAAGGCAAGTTTTAATAATACAAGTTTTGTATGATTATATGCCCTTCAGTCTTAGTAGTAAAGATCTTTAACAAAAGCTGTCTCAATTATATTCGATAGAGACGTTTCTTCAAAACTGAAATTGACATTAGACCATTTTTAAATTTATAATGTATTGTTTTTACTTATCGACAAAAGCTCGTGTTATAGAATGCCCTGATAACTAGAACATTTGCTAACTCAAACTATTTTCTCGTTCCTTGGAGGTTCGTGATATCCGGAGTACATTGTAATAAGGATAATATAAAAATTATAATAACTCCAACAACATCAATAAATAAGTATTAGTAATAATAACAATAATGAATTTTTTTATTTATACAGGAAAAATCTTTATAAAAAGGTTTGTTTATAAGGTAAATGTTAGTTTTGTTTTTTTAGATTTTTTTTTTTAATTTCATCAGAGAATTAATAGAATATTATAAGTAACTTAAAATATGTTTCAACAGATGTTTATTTTATTATTTAAATACATATTACAAAAATATAAACCTAAAATCTATTTATCAGTTTAAATCCAATAAAGGAGCATCCATAAAGTACGCGCGCTGTAAAACTATTAATTTAGAATTTCTATTTTATATTAAGAAAATCGAGAGAATTTATCAATAAAATTAAAAGCAAAACTTTTTGATGGTTTTTTTACTTAGTTAGAAGAGTAACTGATATTATTAGGTGAAATAAAAATAATTTAAATTTTTTTTTAATTAATCAAACCGCGTACGTACGTCATGAACACTCCCTCTCTTTGTACGCTTCTGCACGCTTTTGTCTAACTATTCCCAGTCTGCATGCTTTATAGAAGCTCCCTATACTATCAGTTTTTTTTAATATTTGTAAAAGAAAAAAAAAAAATGTATTTAGTTGGTTTATTAACTATTATATATGGGAACATATCTTTCTATAACTGTCCTGCATATTGGACATAATGATAATTGTTCAGTGCATGACTTACAGGAACAAACATGCCCACAGGGTAAAATCACTACACTGCGCGGTTGATACAAACAAACAGAGCATGCGTTTTCAACAGTATTTTCATACATTAATGTATTATAGCTGTTTTCAATTTTGTATAACCTGTACCATTTATATAACCAATACGACATAAAAGTAATGCTTATTAGAGCAAAAAATATAGAAAAACCTTTATAAATACTCCCCGCATGCTTTTCAACCTCTATAAGATCACTGATAGAGTCTGAAGATAAAATATATCTTAAACCAGGTTGCGAAGGACATTTAAGTGATATATGTTTACCATCAGTTAACACTATTTGTCCAACTCCAACGAGTTTTGTCCCAATAAGAAGCATTTCTTCCACAGTCTCCATACCTCTCACTCTATCCCCAGCAACAAAGTCAATAACTCCTTGTGTAATTGAAGATGGACTAGGTTCATATAGATCATAAATTGTAGAAAGTTTTAAATTTTCAGCTTTTAATACATCACATACATGGACTTTAACATCAGATTTATCAACCAAAGAAAATGGTTCAACATGTTGTTTTGTTGATAATATACGAACTTTATCTATCCTGGAATAACAAACAAAGAAATATATATGTATATATATATATATATATATATATATATATATATATATATATATATATATATATATATATATATATATATATATATATTACATATAAATAAAAATGAATATATATATATATATATATATATAATATATATATATAATATATATATATATATATAATATATATATATATATATATACATATATATATATATATATATATATATATATATATATATATATATATATATATATATATAGATATATATATATATATATATATATATAAATATATATATTACATATAAATAAAAATGAATATATATATATATATATATATATATATATATATATATATATATATATATATATATATATATATATATATATATATATATATATATATATATATATATATATATATATTATATATATATATATATATATATATATTAGGGGGAGTCAAAAAAAGTAAATTTTCAAAACAAAAAAACCATACCCTCTAAATTTGGGGCAAATATCTTGAAAATAAGCCTCAAAAAGTTTGAGCGCTCCTGGACCACTTTCGACCCCCCTCAAGCCCAAAATTTAGGGAAAAAAAGACCGAAAAGTGGCTATTTTCTGGCGTCTTGAGGGAGGGGTTATATATATTTTTTTTCAACTTTTTTTTTTTTACTCACTATATGAAGGCCTATATTTTAGTTTAAAACTGTATGGTTTTTTTATCAACCCTCAAAAATCTATGTTTCGTGGTATTAAAAATCATGAAAATTTGTATTTTATGGGGGGGGTAGGGTGTCCCAAAAAACAATTTTTTTGAAAATATTTATCTTTATTGAAATAAATAAACAAAAAGATAATTGTATATTTAAAATATTATAACAGATAAAAACTCAGGTTTATCTCTTTATCTTTTTCTGCATCACACCAAGCCCATCATTTAACTTAATCTTTGAAATTTTACTAGATTCTTGTTCTGGTGATCTGAATACAGGTCGAACTTTGTCTACAATGTGCAATCTGTTTTGTTTTTCAGTTTCATTCGAATATCTTTGAATATACTGCGCCATCGTACCTATAGATCGTTCTGAATGGTCATTTACAAAAATCATAGTTTCAGCATATTTTTGAAAACTTTTAAAGCAAGATTGGATATGCCAATATTTTGGTGGAAGTGAGAGCCAGTCTTTAACTCGTTGCTTATCAAGACCAATCATGTCAAAAATCAGGTAAGAAAAGTTATCAACTAAGACAGACAAGGATGGTGGTTTTTTTCCAATATTTATATTCATTTTATAGATTTTCTTGATATCTTGTTTTACTTTGTTCTCAGGCTTATAATAGTCAGAGCTAGGCTTGTCAAATAAAAGAATTGCTGATGCAATTTTTGTCTTCTCCTCTAATGTTAAATCAACCTCTAAGGTTTGTACATACCTTCTTGTACAGATGCATTTGATGTATGGCTGTAATATCAAGAAAAGGAGCTTTGATGACATCTTCAGATTGTAAATACCATTTTGTATAAAAGCAAACAATAAATTCTGTAATAAGCCTAATTTCAGTTTTTAGTTTATCGTTTTCTAGAACAAATGCTAGTTGGTTGGATAAAAGTTGAAGTTTTAGATAATAAATTGATTTTCCTGAAAATCTTGCATGGTGAATAGCACCTGTTTTTCTTACTTTATAGGTAACAGGGGATAAGTAGCTGACAACTAATTCTGCAAGCTCACTTCTATTATCTCTTTTAATACCTGGTTTACCAATGTAAGCTTTGCAAAATGTTAATGAATTCTCAGCTGCCTTCTTTAAAAGATTGCTTTTAACGTTATTCCAATCAAACCGTAAGAGTTGAATTGGATTATAATTAAAATTAGGTTCTTCAAAAATATTTTTTAATTTTTTGAAAAGAGGATTATCAGGTCCATTCGTTTTATCATTGGTCACTAATTTCCAAAAGTGAAGCATTCTTAGTTCGTTCACATGATGTCTACAGGCTATTTGGAGGAGATATTTATCCAGTTCTTTAGATATTCTTGAAACGGACCCTTTATTCGTCCCAGTATTGGATGATGTTGTATCGAAGCATATTCCTCGAGTTTTTGATGTAAGTTGATATTCTTTAATTAAATCTATTATACCACAAAATTGGTAGATGACAACAGCGGAGGTACTCCAAGTAGGTAAGAATTTCCATTAATGTTAACTAAAACCGCCATTCTATCCCTCTTTAATATTTTTACATTTTTTAGTTCAAACGATGTCTTGCCTTCAAAATGAATTATACATGGATATAGAGATGCATCAATGGCTACTTTAACATCTTCTTTTGCAATTGTTGATATATTTTCGTTTTCTTTTTTCATTTTTCTATATGCGGTAGACTGACTGCTTTTAACTTCTTTAAGGTCAACACCTGATTGATATAGAATTGCATTTGTTACCTTCTGTAAAACATTTGGTGATATATCACAGGGTGTGGCAGTAAGAGAAACATTACCAGCAAAAATATCTTTTGGAATTTTTGCAATTACTGTGTCTGGGTTTTCAGAAACTTCTATATGATACCAATCACCTGGATCGAAATCAGATTCAATTGAAGAATCCTCGCTCAGATCTGTGTTTATAAGTTCAACCTTGGGTACATCATCTCCCAGACTTAAAGGCTGTGAACAATTTTTCTTCCTTATACTTTCTTTTGCCTATATTATAGAAATGTTTTAGTATTAGTTTTTAATTTTAGAATTAGTGAAAAAGAGAATAAAGTAATAGAGATTAAACCAAAGCTTAAGCAGTGAACTAAAAGCATTGAATTTTTACTATACTTAATATTTTCTGAAGCAATAACAAACTTTCTTTGACCTTCCTGATCTTCAAGAAATTTTTAATCTCTAATCTTGTCTCTAAGGGATCTTATTTTATCTTGACTGATTATGTTTTTGAGATTATAATTACCAGCCCAAAAAAGTTTTTTTATTTCAATCTCAAACTCGTTTTGTTTAGCCAAATCACCACTAGTTCCTCGTTTTGCATTTTTTTTCAAGTTGGAATGAGACTTGTGCAAATTAAAGTTTCTTAACTAAAACTAAATCAGTTAACACATTAAATCCAGCTTTAATCCAGGATCTCTTGATTTTAGATAAAATACATTCACTGCAACTATCTGAACATCTTAAGAATTTTTTTTTAAGAGGAAAAGCAATTACATTAGATATTGATGCAGATCGAAATTGCTGGTTATATATTAGGTGTTGAAGAATATCCAAGCCCGTTGGTAGCTGTATATCTAAATTAAAAGATTTTAAATTTTCAATGAACCATTCAAAAAACGTCTCATTAATAATTCCAAAAACGAATCATTACTAATTCCAGTATTAAAATAATTTTTTCTACCTGATATAGCTGGTTTTGCCTCTTTTATAATAAAATGTTCTATTTTCATTGACCTTAGTTTAGCTTCACTCATTACTAATACATTTATTTTATGTACTAATCTTAAATTATTAGAAAAATGTAAAATTTAGAATTTTCAGAAGTTGTACCAAAATATAACTATACAACAATAGGCGTAACAGAAGAAAATGCAAAAAATTACCAATTTTCATGATTTTCAATACCACCAAACATAGATTTTTGAGGGGTAATAAAAAAACCATACAGTTTTAAACTAAAATATATGCCTTCATATAGTAAGTAAAAAAAAAAAATTGAAAAAAAATATATATAACCCCTCCCTCAAGACGTCCGAAAATGGCCTCTTTTCGGTCCTTTTTTCCCTAAATTATGGGCTTGAGGGGGTCAAAAGTGGTCCGGGAGCGCTCAAACTTTTTGAGGTTTGTTTTCAAGATATTTGCCCTAAATTTAGGGGGTATGGTTTTTTTGTTTTGAAAATTTACTTTTTTTGACTCCCCCTAATATATATATATATATATATATATATATATATATATATATATATATATATATATATATATATATATATATATATATATATATATATATATATATATATATATATATTAGTTTATTTCGCCGTATAAAATGTTTATAATGTACAACAATATAAAGAAGTACATATATATATTAAAGTGATTCATAAAATATTATTTTTGAAAGTTGTAACTCGAGTGATTTCTTGTGAAGCAGTATGGCCCAAAAGTATGTTACCTGAAAATAAAATAAAAATAATTTTTAGACCCTCCTATGATGCTCCTCATTCATTTGGACAAGCTCCAAATTTCAAAAATAAAAATCAATTTAATTTTATAAAAAACATCTCTAAAAAACATTCTATATAAAAACTTTAAAAAAATTAATTTTTTTATTTTATGTTAAAAAACATGCACATCTTTATATAAATTATTTTTGAAATTTTTATATAATTTTGCTTCTTTTGAGAGCCAATATGACATTTTAGAAAACTTTTTTTCGATTAAATTTGGGACACATTCGTTCTTTTAAGTTCGAGGAACAGGGTCTAGATATTGTTTGATTTAAATTTTATTTTTGGATAATATACTTTTTCGATTTCTTGTCACTAGAGTTGCAACTTTCCTCGCCTTCAAAATTTGGGGAAAAAAGGGACCTCAAAACTACTAAAGGTCTTGAGGGCAACGGTAACATAAATGTTTTAAATAATTTTTTTTAGCGCACAAATAAATATCTGAGTTTTTGACTAAAATGGCACGGTGTTTTCTTTCATCCCTTAAAATAGTACAATTCATATTTTAAATCGACTGAAATGTAGTTATTACATGTGTGGCGTTTTTATATAGATTCATAGTAAAGTTTACAAATGTATATATTCAGAATCAGATTAAAATTTCTCAGTTTATGTATGTTTAACAATACAAATATTTTAGATAAAATAATATGCTCTTATGTTATTACTACAATTTTTCCCATCAAAAAGAATTTATTTTAAATATTTAGCAAGATTTTCTAGTAGTTTTAACTTTCTTTTATAATTTATCTGATACATTATGTGATTTTGTGTGC